CCCCCCCCCAGTTTATCACCGTTTTCAGATTAGATGCGTTAGGTTCAAGTGGACTCCACTGTATTCCAAATGCTAGTTAATCACAACATGGTCTCCGTGCCATGTTCGTAGTGCAAGTTTTTGCAATGAAGTCGTTGCAAAATTACAGCACAGAACCACAACAGGTGCACGGGGTCTGTGGAAAAACATTTGTACGATAACCAAGGCGCTTGCAAGATGCGAGCATTGCTTCATGAAGAGAGTTTGCTGCTGGGCTCCTGCTGTGCTGTTGCTGACTTGCTGCTGCCGCTGGGATCCTGCGCTGATGACTTGCTGCTGCTGCTACCGCTGCCACTGTCTGAGTTGCGTTTGAGTTGTGCTGCTGACAGGATTGGCTGCCGCGCTCGGGCGGGACTAGGAGTGCGAGAGCGGAGGTGAGGACGAGGCCTGGCAGGTGTCTCCTGATGGAGAAAAACAACAACAACAACAAAATTAGTCTTTTTCTTTGTGTTACTCTACTAGCTCTCAGGGGTAGGTGATTGCTGGCTCTTCAACACGCAGTGCAACTGATATGATCATTTTCCCCTACTTTGTAGGACCTCTTGAAATGTAAAAAACAATAGTTTAAACAAACTCTGTTTTGAAGACTTTTAAAATTTGTTTCAAGAGAAAAAAGAGACTTCATGTATTACCAAAAATATAAACAGTGTTTAGATAAGTATAAGTCTCACCAGCGATAATTTGTGGCTACCTTCAGAGGGGAAACCAAGAAACTGAAGGGCCTATTCACTTTCTAGAACAATGGTTCTTTACATGGGTTCAGTTAAACCTCATGGGTCCGGAGAGTCGGTCTCAAGGATTTAGTAGGGGTTGGCACACACACACACAAACACACACGCACACACATACTTGTGTGTATGTGTGTAAGTTTATGTGTGCCTGTGCCTGTGTCTTGATCCCCCAGTTTTGGACCAATAACAACAACTGCTAATATTATTTTTTTTTATTTCTTCAGATAAAGGTGCAAAAAAGTATAACGGGGCCTATCAACAGAAATACAAATTGAAACAATTTCTTAAATGCTGATGGAAACGAGGGCTCTTTGAGCTACAAGCGAAACATTGTTGAGCCACAATGAGTCTCAGAAATGCACAAATCTTTTTCACAGTGCGACTGGATGTAATATAGTCGTGTAAATATAATAATTATAGTTTGACTTTCCTTATGGTAAGTAAAATATTTTTAAAAGTTTATTGTATATAGACAAAGTGTTAAGTGTTCACTACAAAGGAGTCCACTTAAACCTAACATGGTTAATCTGAAAACAGTGATATACAAAAAGAAAATAACAAAATTCCAAGTTTTTTTTCTTCTATACGAGCAACCTCTTTAAACCAAAATCCCAGCTGTACAAAGACAATCTATAATTCAATCTGTTATTCATCATGCCATTAAATAAAAAGTCTGAGAATGCATTTTCGTCTACCTCAAAAATTGCTTGAAGTATCTTGTTCTATTGAGCAGATATTTAAGGAAGAGCTAGACGTGATTTTATCAATAACAAAAATCAGAGAAAAAAACTAAGCAAGTGATAATCCTATCCAAATGAGAATTAATTGATCAAATCAATCTCCACTCAGGCTATATTCTCTACAATAACGGACAAGCAGTCAAGAATCTTAAAACAGCATAACTAATTATATGATCTGATGCTGGCTGACATTTTAGACACCACACACAAAAAAGCAATAAATCTTATTAGTGCGTTTCAATAAAAGAGAACATTTTAGTTGTAGGAAGGATTAAAATCTTGTAAAAGGGAGATTTCACTGAAGAAAACATTACTTTGAATTATCATTTCTAAGTAACAACTATTTTTTAAAAATTTTGGTGAAAAAAAAACAAGAAAGAAAACAAAGAAAACAAAACCAATGGTCTGGCTTCTTATTTATAAAGAATCCTAGAGAACAATGGGTTTTTTTTAAAACACAAAACCTTAGGATAACATCCAATGGCTCTGTATAATCTTTTATGCCATGCTAGACACAGAAAGCTTTTTATTTCTTTTAAAGGTAGGGAACTTAATCATGGAAGGACATACACTAAAATATTCCAGGCACAGAGGGGAAAATATGGACCCGACTCAGATTCAAACTTTAGACCATGAAGTGCTTGTCAACCTTTTTATATCCAGCGCTCACTTGGCCAACTTTAAAGAGGCTAAAATTTCAATATGGTACCGCCCAACTACATGTATTTCCAAGTGAGGCATTAAACTTAAACAATACTTGTTACTACTCGGATGATCCCCATCGTCCACCAAAATGAGTATCGCCCAGTTTGACAAGTTCTGCTTAAGACTTTCAAAATGTTGGTCAGTTCGCAATTGAATGTGTCACAGTCGTCAGTATATTTCAATGGCTAGTTTCACTAATCCCAGGACCAATGTCTGCTGTGTGAGCAAAACAGGTGGCATGTAAATCTTTATTGCTGACACACTGAAAAGCATTACTACACTGCAAAAGTTCTAAAGCAAGCTTAGATCAGTTGCATTTACAATTCACTTCAGTTTCACAACACACTTTTGAAAGCAATTCTGTTACAATACACTTTTACTGAATTTACGTTTCCTTATTTTGAATTGTTTATCTTTACTACAAATGGTCAAAAAGTGTAAGTCTGTTGATTATAAAAATACACAGGTCTGGGAAAACTTAAAGGCAAATTTTTGGGGTTAAATTTCGCACGCAATCCTAACTGCACATAAATGAAAACAGAAAATTATTTTAAGCCTCCAAGTTAAAGCTAAACAATCTACAAAAATTACAAGTTTTCTCAATAAAAAAAGGCTTGCTCTACAGACTATAGTAGTAAGGAATATGTCATACTATTGTGGCAAGAAACAGATACACATAATCTATTTTAGGCAGTAGGCATTCATACCCAATACAGTTCTCTCTAAGAGTCTCTAAGAGGGATGATCACGTTTTGCCTGAAGGACGGTGGAGAAGACAGAAACGTTAACAGAGTGATGTTGGAAAGTGGAGATTATAGACACAAAGTAAAACCCTGATAACACAAACTTTTCAAGACCACAGAATTTCTGTGTGTAAAGCAGATTTTTATGTTGTAATGTATAGAATAAAGAGGGAAAACAAAACAAGGGATTTGAAATCCTTTTGTGGTAACAAGAATTTCGTGATAGATAGCTTTGTATTTAACAGAGTCTACTGTATTCAAAGAGTCAGAGGCAAGAGCTTCGTAAAAACATTTTTTGTTGTTGTAAGTACCTACTGCCAGAAAATTTCAGGGACTGAGACCAAAAAGTACATCCAGTATGGTGCTATATAAAGTCTATTATTTTGTTACCAAAGTGTTGATACATTCAAGTGTGATCAGTAGCCCGAGTGATTGTCTTTTCGTGCATGTGTTCTTTGTCAGATATATGAGTGTACACGTATTTGAAAGAATTGTTGTATGTTGAATGGGCCAGTATGCATGAACCGCTGATTTAAATCTTATCCTATTCTGATGCGCATGAAGCCACCAGGAAGAGGGCGCTGTAGAAGTGATCTTTATTGTTATTATTATTATTATTATTTATACACTTATCACACCATTGGGTTCCTACCGCTGGCTTTAATTCAACAAAACACAGGCAGTAATAATCTAGAAAGTGATCATTGTGAATAAACCAGAACCCCCGGATGCCTGGATAGAACATAAGATTTATCATATAATATGTACACACTTTCATTAGCTTAAATCAGAGCTGCAGGCAGCCTTATAAAAAGAACACACTGATGTTTATCAGACATACACACATTAGCTTAAATTATAGACGCAGGCAGCTTTCACTTTGCAGAAACAAAAAGTTATTCTATATAGCGTCACCAAGGCTTATGGGTGGGTGCTGTTCTAAAGGAAAGGTGGGGATTGGAGGAGAGGGGAGTGGTGGGTAGTCAAGATGCCCCAAAACAGCAGAACAAAAGTGCATAGTGAACAAGGAGTGCACAATTTGACTAAAGTGACAGTTTCTCCTTGTGCAACACACATGTGTGGCATTGTGGTGAAATCAGGTACTCATCCAAATAATATTTTTTTAAACCCACGTTTTCCTCCCACTGAGCAATTTTTAAAGATTAAAATATTTTTGGGGGGTTCCGTGCCCTTTATGTCCATTTGAAAACACATTTCTGTGTGGATCTTACTGTAAACCATGGATGAAAGGCAAAGCAAATGTAAATTTGGTTTCCCAAAACACTGAAGCTCTGGAAGGCACCAAACTTTGCAGCCATTTTCTTGCTAATTTTACCTCTGACCCTCACCTCCATCAGTTGCAAACATCTTGACTTCACTTCAAATCAAGATAGATGGGTATTTTTTTCCACCAAAAGCAAGACAAATATAAACAAGCTTTCAGATCATACCAATAACTCCTTATGCCCAAAAACTGATGAGTGCCTGATTCCATTGTGTTGTGACACATAGTTTTTATCTTTTATGTTCTCTTGTGCAACACATATCTTCTAGGTGCTCTCAAAGCATCTTTCAGTCTTAGGACAAAACAAAGCAAAAGCGAGGAAAGGGCCGAGAACTTACTGAGTGAGTCTGGGTCTGAGAGACGGTTTGCTCATCGGCTTTAGGGGAGATATCCTGGGGAGTGAAGTGAAGGAGCCTGGTGAGAGGCGTGTGATCATGTGATTGAGAGAAAAGAGAGAAAGAGAGAGAGAGAGAAATTGGGAGAGAGAAAAGAGAGAAGGATACGGAAGAAGGAAAAAGAGAAGAACAAAAAGAGAGTGAGAGATAAAGGAAGAGAGCTGGAAAGACAGAGACAGAGAGAAATAAAGACAAAGAAATAGAGATAGATAGATAAATAGAGACAGAAAGAAAGAGAGAGAGGTAGAGACAGATAAATAGAGACAGATAAATAGAGACAGAAAGAGAGACAGAAAGAGACAGAAAGAGAGAGAAAGAGAGAGAAAGAGAGAGAGAGAGAGAGAGAGAAAGAGACTGATACAGTGTGTCATGTGACCATGCAGTGAACAGAGTGAAAAGCAAAGCAAAATAATTATAAAAGTAAAGAGCCCATTCATTTAGAGTGAACAGAACTGTGAGTACAAACATAGGAAAAATATATATGTCCCTATTCCCCTTGACATGGAACAATAAGCACATCTTTCCAATTGCAAATATAGGAATGTTGGTAAGAAAAATTTCTGTCTCTCTCCCTCTATTTGTCTCTCTCCCTTCCTTTATCCGTCCGTCCCTCCCCCTCTCTCTCTTTCTCTCTCTCTCTCTTTCCCCCTCTCTCCTCCCTTCTCTCTCTCTCCCCTTCTCTCATTCTCCAATTTCTTATTATTCCTCTTTCTCCCTCCGTTCTCTTTATATCTCACTTAATTTATTTTTTGTCTCTTTCTCTATGTCTTCTTTCTTCTTTTAATTAGTAACCAAAAAGATCTTTCCCCAAACGTTAACTAAACTAAAAAAAAAAAAAGCCCTGAGACCTAGACGTAATATAGAAACCGCTGAATCAAAAACGAAATCACAGGACAAAAATACGTTCAGAATTCTAAAACAGCACAGTCGAACCCGTCCATAACAACCACCCATTATCGAGAAGAAATGTGGTCATCTTTCAGAGGTCCTTTTGGACAGTGCCAATATCATGCATAGAAAAAAGCAAAGGGGCAAGAGGGAAATGGTCATTTGTGTAGGTAGTTGTCTTGATAGGTGATCATTAGAGCTAGTTCGACTGTATATCATTTCTACTAGTTTATGTCACAAACATGCTCTCCTTATACATGTGTGGCTTGTGGTGAAATCAGGTGCTCGTCAAATTAACGGAATTCGAAGAAACCAGTAGCTTTGACGTTTCCAAGGAGACTCAAATTTTGGAATCCACCAAACTTGAATGGCCATTTTCTCCCTTAATTTACTTTTGACACCAGGCGACTCCCACCTCCTTCAGTCGCTATTATCTCCACTTCAAGATAGATGGGTATTTTTTTTAATGAAGGCAAGGCAAATGAACAGGATTTAAGATTATATCAAAAACTTCATTTGCCTGAAAATTGAAGTGTGCCTGATTCTACCATCTCGTGACACACATACTTCATACACAGACTATCATTCACCTTAACTTGACATCCAATGATAGAACAAAAAACAAATTGGACTGTTCAATACTATCACCAAACTGTCAAATTAATCTTGGTTAAAACAGACTTGCTGAAGTATGATCTAACAACTTACCTCATTTGACGAAGGTGAGGTTTTGGTGTCTTGGTGTTTCGAAGGCAATAATCCGTGAAATGATTGATTGCGACGGACACTTGAGCTGGACTTTTTCATCACTGCCCCCTCCATGATGATGGGGCTATGGGTTGGACGGGTTGGGTCGACCTCTGAGGGGAGTGACGTTGGTTGTCGGTGGTCGGAAGGTGTTCTGGAATAGACGTAGAGAAGATTGAAGCTTTGAATAAAGGAAGCATGACATATTGTGATAGAAAAATGTAATTAAAGCTATTTGGTTTTCCCATAGCCGAAGACTGATACCCTTAAAAGGCACCTTTTAAAAATAAATCATGACACACCAATATTACACAAAATGTACTCCCCTCAAATTTGCCTTCTTGAAAGTAAGTACACAACTTGAACTTTTCTTCACACAGAGAGGAACAATAGGTTAACACAAAAAGTTTGCTTCAAAGAGGTAATCGGATTGAAAAAAAGAAAGTATAAATGATCTATCAAAATAAACAATACACATTTGCATTTGAGCACAGACATTCAAGTTATATCTCACTATTAGTTCCTGCGGGTGTGCAGATGGTGTAACTGCTTCTCCCACCCCCATCCTTAGATTGCTTCAACTTGATGTACTGTACCCACTCAAAGATCATATAAATAAAGCAGGGCACAGAAGTGGATTAGAAAAAACAAGACCCCATCACACTCTTGTTTTGAAAAGTGACATATGACGGGGTCTTACACTGACTCACCTTCTGTGTCCTCGCCGAGAATGCCGACTGTCGTCAGAATGACTTCCTGAGGAGCTCTCATTCGGGGCTCTGGGCGGGAGCTGTGACCCAGCATCAGAAGCACCGCCTTCCACATCGCTCTCACTGTGGTTCCGTGACCTTCGACCTGACTGCCTCTCATCGTCTGAGAGCTGTTTCAAACTAGCAGTGTCGCTGCTGTCTTCTGGGTTGGATTTTTTCCTCATCAGCGACTCCTTTGTCTCCCTAACTGCAGTGGAGTTGTTCTTGGTGATATTCTCCAGATTTTGAAGCAGGTTGCACTTCCCGCTGCGAGAATGACCTGACTCGCTGCTAGACCCCCGCCCAATATCTTTTGCCGAACCAATAGACTGACTTCTACGGCAGCTGACAGAAGGGGACGAACTATGACCTGCTTCAACAACCACTGTCTGAGTCTGGGCAGAGTCTTGCTCATTTTCTTCGCGAATACTTTCAGGTAGAGATTCATTGCTCGGTGATTTTCTGGAGGTGTCGGTGCGGGCACTGCCGGGGAGAGATTCGTTACTGTGAGAACGTTTGGACGTGTCCGTCCTAACACTCATGAGAGACTCGCTGCTCTGTGTTCTCTTTGAGCTTTCTCCCCTAGAACTGCCCCCCGACACAAGAGACTCGTTGCTGATGGTGCGTTTTGACACATCTCCTCGGTAACTGCCAGGTAAAGATTCTATGCTGGGCGACTTTTTGTGGATCTCCGATTTAGAACCATTATGGCTATCATCGCTGCGACCGCTGAGAGAGTTGAGAGAGCTGGATTTGTTCAGAATCTTAGCCTTTTGCTCCATCATTAGCTCAGCTACGGATAATCTCGTTTTCTCTTCCCCACCGTCTGACTTGTCCATGCCAACAATGAGAGGACTGTTAGGTCGGCTGCCAGATGAATGTCTACGACGTCCATCCAACACTGGTCTGCCCGAACTCCCATCCTTGACCTCTGACATGGCTGAATGAGCTCCATCATCTTCTGACTTTTGATGGCCACCATAGCCATCAACACTGCGACCCCTGTTTTCTTCCAAGACATTGGATTCCTTTCTATCTTCTCTCTCACCTGCCATAATAATATAATCTTGGGTCCAGTTAGATGTGGGTGTGTGCAAGTCTCTACTTCGTTTTCGTCTGTGTCCACGAGTCTTTGTTGATGAGTCTGAGCTCCCTCCCCCGTCTCCATCTTTCTTTGATGAATCTCGAGCTTCCTGCCCCCCCGATGAGGTCTTCTCACTTTGCCTTTCCCATCTATTACCCGATTTCAAAGCCTCATTAGTTGACATGCTATCAAGCTCTGACACAACTTTACCACCTCCTGAAGCAATGGCCAATTCTGGTGTTGATTTGCTTTTTTCTGGATGAAGCTGATAATCTCTACTCCGCGTTCGCCTGTGACCTCGGCTTCCACTGCTTGGGCTTCCATGTGCTTTCTCTTGAGAATCATCTTGCCCATAAGCTTTCCTAGCCAGAACCGACTCTGCAATTGCATTGACACTCTCTAAAAAAGACTTAGCCTTATCAACTGTGAAGGTTTCTGACATGCTAGAAGACTGACTTGCTGCCTGTCTGTTTTGCTCAAGGTTTCCACAAGGTGGTGATACTTTGAAAGATGGACTTTCAGTTCCAGCCTTAGGGGAAATTCTGACTCTACTTTCAGTATCCATACCAGGGGAGGGAAAGGCGTTAGGGGAGCTCGCTTTTCCAGTTTCAATCATTACACTCCCAGAACCAAGTTCTCTTTTTCTAAGATGAAAGGTTGGAGACTCGCGTCTCCCTGAGCCAGAAGGTGGTGACTCTCGTTTCTTGCTGGGAGAATTTTTTTTGCCAGGGACAGTAACAACAGCAGTACCCCTGACTTCATCTTCAGCATGCTGTTGCTGTGGCTGCTGTTTATGTTCTGACAGCTTTCCTGGGCTTGGTGGGGGTACTGGGTTGTGTCTGGGTGCTTCCCCTGACGACAAATTTCTGTTTCTGTCTCTGACATGTAGAGGAGACTCAGGAAGTCTTCTGGAACCTTCTTTGCGCTGCCCACCGGAGGAAGTCGCATGAGCTAGCACTGGTTGGTCCTGTTGAGGCCCAGCTTGTTTGTGTGTGTCAAAAGCCCCTGCAGACGGGCTACTCTCCTTTGAGTTTGTCATGTCAGCTGGGCTTTCCCCCGAGAAGTCATAACCCTTCTGTAAGTCTTTGCTTCTGGTGCGCCGGTGAGTGTGGAGTTTTGGATGGGTCAAAATTGCAAAACGTCCTTCACTGGCTGAGTTGTTAGTGTTCTGACCCTCCAGACTCTCAGATTGTAGCTCTGCGAAGCTCTGTTGGTCTTCCTGATAGTGAGCCAAGGATCGTGAGTTCTTTTTTTTATCCCCAGGTCGAGGCGACTTGCGATATTTTTTGTGCTTACGTCTGACTTTCTCTGAGTTCTCGGCTGAGTCAATCTCCTTCTCACTGTCGTTGCAGCTATCACTGCCACTACTGGCAGAGTATTTCAGTCTCTCCTGTCCTTTGGCCAATTTAGCCATGATAATATTGGATTCGAAGGACTCTCCAAACCCAGACAAGGCCTTCACATAGAACCTGTGGAGGGAAGGGAAAGAATTGTAGTTTTCTGTACACAAGGCGATAACATGTCAGAAAATTCATTTTGTTTAACATCTGATATAATGTCAAGCACACATAAAACTAAGAGATTCTAAAAATTTAAATATATCAGGTCAACAACAGTAGAAAATTAAACAGTAAAATATCAAAAACACAAAGAGTATAGGTTTACACTGAATATTGTAGTCTCAAGGATTTAATTTTGCAATTCAGAAACTTTTTATTTAAAAGATCTCAACAGTAAACATTTTACAAATCTCCTTTCCATCATTACACTATGGGCACAATTATCATTCGAAGGGTTCATTTATTTCCTCTCTTATAAGTAATGAAATTAACTGACATTTTAAAAGAAAACACTCCACAAAACCAAATGCTTCACCAGGACCTTCATGTTTTCTGAACGTTTCGAATGAAATTCAGAAGAAAAAAAAAATTTACATCTGCCCCTGTGAGTAATAAACGATACAAAATTTTCATAATGAAAAAATGGTTAACATTATCATACTTATAAGTCGTTGATGGATTCAGTCCCTCAACTAAGGCTGAAGTTCTCTGGCATATGAAGGCTTTTAGCTGATCATTCACATAAATCCTGTATCCTGGGGAATAGATTCAAAGAATGATCTCAACAACTGTTATATTTTAAATGTTGACTGTGCCCTATGCTTGAGCATCAAAAATGCCAAACCATGTAACATCATTATACTTGCTTCTGGAAATGAAAAAAAAAATGTACCTCTTGACCTCATATTATATTCCACAATTACATGTGGGTTTTTTTTATGATACATCTAAAACTGTATTTATCTCATTTGACAAATTATATAATTTCATAGAACGATGTTTTCCAATAGTTTAAGACACTAGCAAAGGAGGGAGGTTAAAACCCTTTGAGTATGTAGCAGACACATACATGCGTCTGACTAGCGGCAGAGTAAGGGCAACATTTCGGGGTAACAGCCAACAGATACAAATCAGAAACACGAGTTTGCATTATAATTCAGAGTAAGCACAAGTTAAGCAGGTTCTTTACGTGCGATGATCCAAGTAACTTACCACTACAACCCAGACACAAATAAAAAAAGATTATGGAAGGACAATAACTGGACAGGGTGAAAGACAGACAAACCAAACCACTGGCTCACCAATGATGTGGCGGTTTCCCTCCTCCTCCATATCTCGACCGGAACAGGAGGAAGGTTGCCATGACAACATGAGTGTGGAACGGTTCAAGTGTCGTAACTGCAGCTGCCTGGGTGGTGTGGGTGCACCCTGCACAGGAACCTGCAGGAAGTAGGACTCCTCCTCTTCCGATGGGTAGGGGGAGAGGGAGTGAGGGATGCAACCTGGGAGAGAGATATAATAATAATAATAATAATAATAATAATAATAATAATTTTAAAAATGTATGTGTGTGTGCCTGTGCGTCTGCATGTGCGCATGCAACTGCGTGTGTACACACACACACACACACACACACACACACACACACACACACACACACACACACACACACACATATATATATATAAAATATATACTCGTAAATGAGGACTTCGACTAAAAATAACTAATCTTGAGAGCACTTTATGTGTGAGGTGATATGTGAACTCACCCCAGTGACAGGCCTCGTCTGTACTGTGAGTGCCCTCTGGAGGGTGGTCGTGGAACGGGGTCACGGCGACAGTGTCAGACTGGTCTGAAGCCAGAAAAACAGAGAGAATGATGTTTTGTGAGGGAGGTGAGCACTTTGTGCATCTTTCACAACCAGTGCACACTGAGAACCACATTCATTTGACTGAGTTGGGGCCAGCCAGATTTTCTTTCTCTGATGGGGTAAAAGCTACAGTTCTCTCTCTCTCTCTCTCTTCTGGCGCTGTGGCTTCATAAACGGTCAGCGATGCCGACAGCACGCAAGAACTCAACACTCGCCCGGAGGTCCTTAAAAAGCTACAGTTCTGGCCTTGTTTGACCAAATTCAACTGTGACTTTCAAAGTCAAGAGTGTTTGTTTTTCAAAGTCGCAAGTTGAATTAGTTGTATTGTGCCGAAATGGAAACTTTGGCCCCTTCATAAAGGAAAATGTGGCTGGCCCCAACTCAATTTGATTGGCACTGGGTATAAAAATGGTCTTGTTAAGTACAGTTCACTCTACAAGAACATTTCAAACGATCGCCAAACAATAGAATGGTCATAATTGAACAGAAAACTTTTTTTTACAGGCATCAACATTCCAAATAAAACAGTTCAATTTGTAAATGAGATAACAGACATTGAAGAGCATTGTACAAAAAAAAATCAGTGTGACCCGAAATTTAAAAAATGATCTCAAAATCCAAGAATAGGCTCCCACAGTTCAACGCGAACTTCCTTGGCTACCAGGCTCATTTATTTTGAGCATATTAAACCCTCAGGAGACATTTGTATCATAAGATCATGTGAGGCAGATAATGTTACTAGTTATTCACATATTCCATCTCTAGAGATTACTTTGTACCCATTTGTAAGTGCGAGAATATCTTGGTCTCACTGGTAAAATAGAAGGCAAAAGTGTGAGCCTGCTCACGCAAGTTCTAGAAAATAGGGAAAAGTAATTTTCTACAGAATACGACACTCTACCCACAAAAGCTATCCACTGTGAATACAATGCTTACTTCATATCATTCGGAGAGACAGAGCACCGATCTTCTCGCAAGAATAACTTACTCTGTGACAAGGAGTGCCTCTAACTAATAATAATACATGTAGTTCATCTGTTAATGTCTGATGATGACCAATGCAACTGCAGAGGAGAATATTTTTTAAGTGAAATAGAAGAATTAAAGGTTAAGATGACTAGTGGCTTCTGTTATCGCCAATGAGGCCAATTCAACCGCATTCTTCTATCGCCTAAGGTAGGTTTGAGGGGAATAGACGACAAAGAAAAGTGATAGATATTTTTCAGGCAGATATTTGACTTAACTCTCTCACTTAGATACAATGTATCTGATGGCAAGATGAAGACAAAATGATCAGATTGATATCTAAGTGCAGGAGGTTGTTAGAATAGAGAAAAGGTACTGACCTGTGAGATCAAAGTTAGCACCGTCAAGGCTGTTGGAGCGGAAAACTGCGGAGGAAACAGACTCCAAGGCTTCTTGTAACTGTGTCACCTGGAAACAATAAAAGTAGTTCTTATAGCCTGAGTCTGAGTAACTTTCGAACTAATCCATCATGGCATTTCTGTACCAAACCAGTATGTGAAAAAACCCAATGTGAATGCACCAATAAAAAGTCAATGTAAAATAAAATCATTGTGAAAAAAAAAAAAGAGTCTATGAAGGCTTTCCTCATTTATTGAAAACAAAAATAACAGACTTAGGCCAAAAAGGCAAGACATTGCTAATACGTTCGGCCAGTGCAAACACACCTGACTCTGTAGACCAGCACATGTCCGCTCAAGATCCTGTGTGCGGTTGAGTTCACTGTAGCCTGAGGTGGTTACCGCCTGTGACAAGGTGGATGCTGCGGTGGTGGTGGGGCTGAAACTTGTGGTAGTGTTTGCCCCACTGCTGTGACCACCAGTGCTGTTGAGGTCTTTTGTGGAGGACAGGTTCTGAGATTTGAGCACTTGTACCTGGGAAAAAGGCCAGAGACAATAAACAACACCATTCCAGCCATTCTAAAGCCCCACTGTTACTATTCTCTAAGGCAGGGGTCATCAAATTGCCACCCAAAGGCCAGATCTGGCCTGCAACATCAGTTTGTCTGGTCTGCCGTCATCCCAACACGTGGGCTGAAATCATAATTTTTTCTTGTGTATTTAATCTGAATTGTTAAAAAATTTAATCAAAAACATAGTTAAGGATCTTCCAGGAGCCTATCAACAGTACATCTCCCTTATGAATGTCTAAGCACCACCAGTTCTCCCCCATTTCTTCAGTTCTTCAGTCTCTATTGCTTCATCAGGGAGAATGACTTTCTGCTTTGAGTTGTGCCTGTAGAGCTATACAGTCAAACCTGCTCCGACCGCCACCTATGTAAGACAATCATCTGTACAAATAGCCACTTCCACTTTTATTCTCCCTCACATTTTTTTTTTTACATTATAACGACATTGTAAGACGTACGCCAGTCTAAAATGGCCATTTTTGTCTTCGAAAAATGTGGCTATCTTAGACAATTTTGACTGTATTTCAAAACAAAAAACTTAACATTCTTCAAAGAAATCAGCAAAGCATTCTGTACCTCATGATAAAGAAGCCGAATGGCCTCCATTTGTAAAATGCGTAGTCGTTTTTCCTCTTCATACAGCTTTCGATTCCTGAAAAGATAATAGAAAAAACAAGAATAGTACTTTGATATTTTCTTGTTCCACTTAACAGTACCCGCAAACATACACACATACAAAAAGACATTCTCTAAAGTAGAATATCTTCTGAAATCTTAGTAGAATAATGTGGTCCATAACATGTTGATGCAAATGTTGTTCAAAAACAGCACAGACACCATGCTCACTAGCACATATACACACACATAGGCACACACACACATATACAGGCAGTAGAATATTCTAATGGATCTTGCCCTTTTAGAATAAAGTGATATATAACCTGTTTTCATAAATGTTGCTCAAACAACACACATGCATACATTAATACATGCATGCAAATACACACATGCACATACTTGATCTATTAAGCTCAGTCATATCTGAGATGGGCTTTTAAAAATCAGCCTCTTAAGTAATTTTACAATCTTGAGACAAGTGTTTATATAATTCCATGGCTGGATGCAACACTTAAAACAAACGCCATTTTGCAATTTGAGGTTTCAAGCAAGCCACTGATTTCAACACAAGCACAAGCAAGCCCAAGAAGTAGCATACCTTTCCAGATCCTTCCTTAACAGCATGATGTGGTCTTCTGCCCTTCTGGCTCGGATTTCTTTCCGGATGGAAATGACCCTAGCGTTGTTCTCTCGAGCCCAGTAACCGCGCCAGAAGGACTGGATCAGCGTGGCTGCTTTATCATCTTCAAGAAGGGAAAAGAAAGGCTCCAAATGATTTTCTTTACACATGGGGACAAGAAAGAGATAGAGAGGAAGGGGAACATATCATATATTTCCTTGTCCCCATGTGTGTGAGAGATCACTTACATAATGTATCATTGTATATTGTGAAACACTATGTGAAGGAACTGTAAAGAGCCTAGACATACACTGTATGGGAGTGGGCACTATGGAATGGATCTTCATTATTATCATTCTGGACTTGCGTCTCCTTACAGACAGTACTCTAGTCTTGTTTCAAAATTCTAATGGTAACTGATTTGAACTTTTCTCAAGTATCTTGTTTGAGTAAAGAGAGAAACACATTGACACAAAAATGGTCATTTAGTACTGGAAAAAAGTAAGACAGTAAAAACAGAGAGAAAGTAAAGAAGTAGGACCTATCAGTGGCGCCCTCCAACCACCCACCTTGTAAGGCATCAAACTCAATCAAACAAAACAAAACAAACAAAAGCAAAGACGCACCGTGACTAGTATGTCTCTGCGAATCCTCCAAGACGGCATCACTGGCCGGCCGAGACAGGAAGCCAGAGTCTCGGACACTTCCAGTCGAGATGCCCCCACCTTTCTTGAGTTCCATGCGCTCCAGATTCAACCTCCCCTTCATCTGCTTGGATTCCCCTGCTTGGGGGGAGATGGTGACCCCATCGCCTCCTCCCTTCTGTCGAAAGATATCACAGATCAGGTATTAGTAAGTGTTTTACGACACTCGCAACACAATTAGGTTATATACGTGCCGAAGAATAGAGGTAATACAAGAGAGTAACAAACACGAAAAAGAATGAGGAGAGATAAGGATGATAGATGTTCAATAGGAAAGAAGGAGCAAACCACACCAGAGCATCTGCCAACCACACACAAGGACAGGTCGGATGAGATAAAGTAGGTCAGTGGGTGGTTGTATTTATTGTACTCATCCCCCCCCCCCCACTCCTTTATAAACACACACAAACAGAAAAACAGTAAAGTACCTCCAAGAAACCTCCCGAGGATGTATCTTTAACCTCTGCAGCTGTGATCACTCCGGTTGCTTTTATGGCTGGATTCCTCATCTGCCGAGCCCGTGAAACAGCTGAGGCAGCCATACTGGATGCTGTAGTTGTAGTTGTGGTGGTGCTGGTGCTGCCAGAAGTTTTCATAGTGCTGCTGCTGTTGTTCCCAGCTGCTGCTGTTGCTGTGGCTGATCGTGCCCTGAGTGCTGTGGCTACTACTGACCGTTGTCTTGCACTGCTGTCTGCACTCGAGTTTCCAGGAAACTTTACAGCTTTTTTATTTCCAGCAATATTCCGGATCAAGGAAAGTTTATCTTTCGGAGCGGCATCAGAACTCGTTCCTGACTCAGTTTTCGGAAAATCTCCCTTCACACCTGTTGCATGTCCCACAGAAATCTGTTGTTGAGAAGTCTGCGACTTTGTAAAGTTGTCCTGAGTACCTGAGTCCTCTCTTCCTACAACTGCTGTTTTCTTGCGAGGCACGACTGCCTCGCTTTCACTGGTCGTCTGTTCGCTGCTCGAGTCGTAGTCCTGACTGCATGCTGTAGGTGGCTGGCTCTCCTTGTGTGTACTCACACTAGGCTCCGAGTGTGACGATAGAGGCAACGAAATGTCAAAAGTCGGCTTGAAGTTGCTTCTGCCAAAATTCTGGTTCAAAGGCTTGATAGGCCGCTGTTCTAAAGAAGCGTATCTATTTTCTGAAGCAACAGAACGAGACTCAGCTGCCGTTGCCGGTCGTGTGAGGTGGGAGTTCAGCGGTTGTCTAGAGGGGACCGAAGTATTCAGTGAAGATGTCCCGTTGCCAGTTGTCGTGGGCCATGACTGATGCTGCTGGACTTTCCCTGGGGCGGTCAGCGGCCGACGTAAGTTAACTGGACTAGCTGGAACATCAAAGGGGAGGTAAACAGACTCCGACTCAAGCAGGCTCACACTACTTCTGGCATCAGAATCTGGGGAGAAATACAGAAAGGGAACAAATAGAAAACTACACAAAGAAATATATTAAGACAATATAATAATCAGGATACTGCAAGACCCTGTGAGAAGAAAAGCAGCATGATTTTCTTGACATATAGAACTACTGCACTGTCAACACTGTTACATAAAAAAATTCAATGCAAGAACTTTGATTTCACAAAACAACTGAAATAGGAGCATAAAAATATAAATGTTGACATTATGTACAAGCCATGGCAATTCATACTTAAAGCAATTTTTTGCCACAAACAGTTCACATTTCTGAAATGCTCAGGAAATGTAATGCTTTTTGTGAAGAAGCTTTGCCTGAGAGCAACAACTTGAAATAGAAAAGAAAAAATTGGAGCAAACAATACTTGTGAGAGGGTAACCTGCAGGATATTAAATATGCAGAAATATTACCACCTTGCACACAAATGACATTAATTTCTAATGGAAAGGAACCTGTTTGTAATTGATGAGAGAAAGAAAAAAAAAAACCAAACTGTTGTTGACTTTATAAACCAAGGACATCAAGCAATTTTTCAGCCACAAGTCTAGGCAGAGAATTTCTTTTCATCTGTCTTCCTTCCAGAACAAAAAGTAATTTTTCATTTTATTTTAATTTCTATTTTCATACAATATAAAAAATTCCCCCGCCCACCCCCCCACGAACAACAATTTTGACTACAACTTTTGAAAAATTTTCCATGCAGTTTTAGATAGTCTCTCAACATACCATTTGTGACATCTTGAACTGTGAGATCGTCAGCGTGCGTGGCTGGCTGTCTCTCCCTTTCGCCACTGGCCGCTGACCGGATGCTCAGGTCAGCTGGATCTGTGCAAGGATAAACATGGAACTCATTTGTCAAAAACAACCAATCAGCAATCGCCTTTGAGTGTTAAATTTTTTATTTGTTGTTGTCTTTAATGTTATAACTGTTTCTATGTCTTCTGAATTTTCGCCCTCTAAGCTTGATATTATGTTGCTAAAAGTGCATGTCATCAAAAAGTTGTTTGACTGTGGCTGTGGTGAGTGAGGGGCTGACTACATTCAAATTTTAAGAAAAGGTCAATTTTATTTAGTTAAAAAAACCAAAGTGAATTGTGACAAGAAAAGTATGTTCTCATCTGACTTACTAGATCATACCTCTTAAATAACAGAATAGCTTTTAAAAAGGCATTAGAGTCATATTGCTACCTTAAAATTACAAAGGTCTATCTGCCCAGTGCTTAGTTTAGAGATATTTGACATATAAAATGTTGAATTTCACAACATGTCAAGCTTTTTTAATGCAATTCTTTAAATATCTCGATAACGACTCTGAATAATCTGATATGATTTTTTATTTAGAGATAGAACATTTCGTCTCTGACCTATTGGTCTTAGTAACTCAAAATGGCCAAATATGTCATATAGAACTTTGTAATTTTAAGGTAGCAATAAAACAAGAACCAACTGTGTCCCAATGTTGTGTAATCAGGCGCTCGTCAATTTTTGGGCATGTGGAATTATTGGTATCATCTTAAAGTTTGTTCTATAGTCTTGCTCTGGATGAAAAAAAAGCACCCATTTATCCTGAATAGAAATCAAGATATTTGTGACTGAAGAAGGTGAGGGTCGCCTGGTTTCAGAGGTAAATTTACGAGAAAATGGCCACCAATGTTTGGTAACTTCCATAGTTTGAGAGTCCTTGGAAACTAAAAATTTGCAATCTTTGTGCCTTTAATTAACATATTTCAGTAAAATTCACACAGAAATGTGTTTTAAAATGGACACAAAAGATGTTGAGCCAAAAAACAAAAATTCGATAATTATTGTCAAACCAGCAGAGAAATGGCGTTTTCTTCGATTTCATTATTTTGATGAGCGCCTGATTTCATCACGATGCCTCACAAATTGACTTACTGGCCCAGACAAGACGCCTGCCTTGTTGTTCTCTGCTGGTGTCCACCGACTGAGATGAGAAGACGGAGGAATTTCTTTCCGGGGAGGCAGAATCTGGTGGAAGAGATATTCTGTTTCTAAAGCAACCCACAGCAAAATTTATCTGCTACAGTGTATCTGGATTTTTTTTAGCAGTCAATAAGTCCACATTTCTCTAACATCTAGAAACATTTTAAAAGAAAATATTACCATGTGTGTGGCTGAATTCTTTTCTAAAATATTTTTGTTTGGGATGGTGGAGGGGCGGAAGGGGGGAAACAAAAAATGTATGGGTTAAATATTTAAATTACTTGATAATTATCCAGAATAAATGCAACCTAATCTTAACTCACTGAGGACTTGCATTCGGCAATTGTTTTGGAGCATTTAAAAAAGGAGTCCTTATACAAACATATTTTTGCAATTGTTTTCTTTGTCTGGAACTTAAAATGGAAGGTAACAACAGGCATACTCTGAAATAAGCAAATTCTTCTTGTTTCTCATTTGAATAATAATATGACGGTTTAAAATACGCCGCAACATAGCATTTGGGTCTGCTACAGATCAGACTAATGTGTCTGCTATGTCCTTGAATAGTTCAAATACTGTTTAAATAAAAACCTGAAAGGTTAAGTTGATAAATACACAGTAAATGTATAGCATGCCTTGCTTACCGTTAGACTGTACACTGTACGACCTATCCCCACTGGGCCCTGAGTTCTCGCTCTCAGCTTGAGGAGGCTGCTGTCGATGCTGTTGTTGTGGTTGTTGCTGATGGTGATGGTGATGGTGATGATGTTGCTGTAATTGCTGCTGGTATCTCCGCTGCTGAGAGAGAATCTGACTGAGCTTGGAGTCGTCCTCAGAGCGGAGCTGTAGTAGAAAAGGATTGAGAGATGGGTTATTTTTACTACAGGGTAGGAGAACGAGTTTGAGTTTGAGCTTGCGAAAAAAGAAACACATCGACAAAACAAAGGTCATGCATTTTCTTTTTTTTTTTTTAGATTAAGTAACAGTTTTACCGCACTTGCAAAGTTCCTACGAGGTCTTATAATTTATAAGTGTCCAAGATTAGAGGAGTTGCAAGAGAGTCACAAACACAAGAGAGTCACAAACACAAAAAAAAGGAGGAGAGATAAGGATGATAAATGTTAGCCCGGAAAAAAGGAGCAAATCATACCAGAGCACCAGCTAACCACCCACATTCATATAGTGCAGGGAAAGAGTAAAACAAATAGACAGAAACAACAAAGGGAAAGAAAAGAAGTTGAACCCACACAAGGACACCCTACAGCCACCCGCATTGGGAAACGAAGACTTGTGTATGTTGTACAATTAGTGTGAGTTAAGGACATGGCTTGCTAGTGTGTGTGTGTGTGTGTGTGTGTGTGTGTGTGTGTGTGTGTGTGTGTGT